CATGAAATCCCGTCATTTCATTCTCGACATTTTATAAATGTCAATAATGATTATAAACGTCAAGAATGATATTTATACTATCATTCTCGATACTGTTAAATGTTGACAATATCATTTAAAATTTGAGTACGTTGGGAAAATTTCGTGTATAGTGATTCACATATTGCATGCATGTAGCATTTTTGTTTTCGATTTTCATTAGTGGTTGACAGTATTGTTGTTTATGACATGCAGATATGGGAGATGTTAAGAGATTTGTTGTCTCGTATAGTAGTAAATTTGTCAACATAGACGACGGGTGGAAGTGGTTAGGGAACCGAACAACATCAATTGTTGTTCGACATGATATTACATATGAAGAGCTTGTACATAAATTATTCGAGAAATTGAATGTTGATAGAATGAAGTTTCGAATTCAATTGAAATTTACAGTTCCAAACATGAATATTCCCCCAGCTGATGTAGCCGACGATGAGGATTTGCAATGGTTTATATCTGTTTACACAGAAGCGACGTTGTGTGTAATTGCAGATGAATATAATGCTGGGGAGCACGAACTGCATGTCGGAGTTGAGCATTTGTCACCAATAGAAGATGCATTGTGTGGACGCGATGAAGTCGGTATGTGCGAACTACAAGAGCCACAATCGATTGATAATATGGATGAAAGTTTAGGTGAAGGCAATTTGTTTATTCGAAATGTAATTGAGTCGATTGATGAAGAGGACATTGTGGAGAATCAGATATTCTTTAGCAAACAACAGTTACACACAAGGCTTCAACTTAAGGCTTTGAAAGAGAAGTTTCATTTCTAAGTTAAAAAGTCCAATCCTAGATTTCTTACTGTGTGTTGTGTCAATACTACATGCCATTGGCTAGTACGAGCTTCTAAGATAAAAATTTCAGAAATATTTATGATTCGAGAGTACATACCTGAGCACACATGTTCTCTAGACGTTCGACGAAATGCACAAATTTACGCAACGAGTGCAGTAATTGGGCATCACATAATGTGAAGGTTGGACGATGCAAACCAATCATACGTTCCTGCTGGTATTACCTAAAACATGAGTTTGATGTACGGATTGAGGATATGGAACGTGAGTTTGATGTACGGATTACCTAAAACAAAGCGTGGAGGGCTAAAGAGAAGGGACTTCGATTTCTTCGTGGTACACCCGAAGAAAGTTTCCAGAAATTGCCATCATATTGTCACATGTTAACCGAGAAAAATCTAGGAACTATTGCACACATTGAACTCGACTCGAATAATAGGTTCTTGTACTTCTTCTTAGCGTTCGGGTCTAGTGTACGTGGTTTTTGAGAATACATGAGGCCAGTAATTTGTGTTGATGGAAGTCATTTGAAGGGCCAATATAAGGGAACACTACTAGTAGCTGCAGCGCAAGATGCTAACCTACAAATATATCCTCTTGCGTGGAGTGTTGTCGATGGGGAAACAAATGCATCGTGGTATTGGTTCTTTGCAAAGTTGAAAGATGTCATTGATGATTCAAACCAGTTAGTGTTTGTGTCGGACAGGAAGAAGAGTATTAAGCAGGCAATTACGAGGTTGTTCCCACTTTCTCACCACGGTGCCTACATCTGGCATATCGAGAAAAATCTTATTGCTAGGTATAGCAGTAGCAATGTTATCTTCTTATTCAAGCGGGCAGCGCTAGCATACCGCATATCGAAATTTGATCAGTTTATGACACAGATAAGAACCATTCGACCGTCAATGGCATCTTACTTGGAACGTGCCAGTATATCCACCTGGTCACGGGCACATTTTGTTGGTAATCGGTACAACGTTATGACGAATAACATTGCGAAGTCACTGAATTCAGTCCTAAGGCGACAAAGAAGTTTCCCTATAGGTTCTACGAGAGAAAAAGTGCATCCACGAAATGTAGTACGACTGTGACACCAAAAATTGATGATGAATTGAGAAAATCATTCGACGTCGGTGCAACTTTACCAGTACGAAATTTGGACGAACTCATTTTTGAGGTAGGTATAGCTACCGAACTTTGTACTGTCGACCTTATAGGTAACACATGTTCATGTCAAGAGTTTCAGATGCGACAAATCCCATGTTCACATGTATCCCGAGCTGCTTGCGCAAAAGAAAAATCATCGTATAATTTGTGCTCCTCTTACTACACTACAGAATATTGGCGAGCTGCGTACAACGAAGTTCTTCACCCCGTTGGCCGAGAGTCAGATTGGGTTGTTCCTCAGTCTATTCATTCCGTCGAAGTTTTGCCCCCGAATATACGTAGAGCACCAGGTCGACCTCCTACCCAACGTCAACGGTCAAGAACTGAAAGATTGACGTTGAGACGAAAATGCGGCCGATGTGGGGGTTCTGGACATAACAGGCAAACATATCAGAATTCGACATCTTTAAGTGACACATATACTTGAATGACATTGTGTATTCCGATCGTCAAATGCCCTGATAACATGAATTATCAATGTTTTGAATTTTTTACTTTTGTATTACTTGCTTTCTACCTCTTATTTTAAATGTTGTTGAATATATTTTTGACTTCTACTTCTTTCTGTTTCTTTCTTCGTTCTCTCTTGATATCACTTATTTACAATTTCTTGTTGTAAAATTAAGTTTGTAATACATTTTGAATCTTTTATACGGATTCCTCCCATTTTTTGTGATTTTTCTCTTATATTATTCTAGTTGTTCAAAATTTTATAGCGCACAAACAGGAAAATTCGTATGGGCATTCACTAAATACAAACAACACTTCATTTTTGAATGTCAT